TCACTGATTGGTACATCAAAGACAGACCAATCCAACACCTAGTGTAGTATCATAATCGAGTCTAGGGGTCAGGTGTAACTTTCCAGTTTTGCCCATCTATCTCCAAGGTCCAGGGCAATACTGGAAATCTGGTCTGGTTCAGAGGTTCTATTAATCCTACATTGCATGTGTTTCGGGTCTCACCCTGGTAGCTGAGACAAGCCACCCCAACAGTTGGCCGCACATCAGTGTCAGCCTTGGCAGCATAAATCTCCCCAGACTTACCCAATGGCTATGAACATTCTAAACTAACACAAGTCTCATTAAGTGTCCAGTTTAAGGGTATTACACAGAAACACACCACAAGAACATGAATCAAATGAATACTTTATTCATTTACAATAAATTCATAATGTACATAATTCTGATTGAAGCTAAGGGCATACAACTGTCTAACAAATATATATAATAAAAATACTATATATAATATTTTTATTTTTATATATAATAACTAATTATTATAATTTTTAATTTTTTAAATATCAAATAAAAATGTTTTTTATTTTTATAAAACATTTTTTCTCAAATCGAGCTCGAACTTATGAGCTTTTGACTCAAATCGAACTCAAACTCAAGATTCTAGCTCGAATTAAGATCGAGCCTCGTACTATCTTGACGAATCGAGCTCAAAGAGTAACTAATTATTCGGCTTGACTCAGCTCGAATCCACCCCTAACCAAATGTAATAGAAATGCATAGACTGCCCTGCTGGATTTGGGTATGGTTGCTGGAGCTTTTGGAGTTAAAATGTGCTTCCGGATGATGTGAAGGGCTCATAGGCTTGGTTCTTAGGAGGCCTCCGCAAGACGGGTAAAGTAGTTTGGAGCATCATCCCAGAAGTAAACAGACTTTATAAAGGGAGACAGAAGTCAAACGAAGAGGTGCTCAACAGGATCTTGGAAATGGTGTTTTCCTGGTCGACAAACCACCCACTTTTTAAAAATACATACAATTGTTCTGTTTTTGAGCTTGATTTCAGTTTCGTAAGAAACATATACTCATTTTTTGGATTGATTGGGAGTTGACTTTGTTGAGTTTTATTGTCTTTAGATATTAATGAAATGCTTTTTTACATTACAATTTTCAAAAAAATGTTTAATTTTTTTTTTTTTTTTTTTTTTGCGCCTTAGCTTTGAAAAGGTGTGCTACTGTGCGTCTCGCCTCGTTCCTCGGGCAGAAATTTCCCGTTGCTCGTAAAATAAAGTAAAATGATATCCAATAGTAAAAGATGAATTGTTTTCTTCTTTCTAATTTTTGCATAACTCGGAAAACAATAATATGTGAGCATTGCAAGATATGCTCTTTCCTATAATTAGTACTTTTTCTTTTTTAAAAAAGTGTTCATTTTCTGCCACTCCTGTATTTTTCTGTTATATATGGTTTTCCTTTGTGTATACATCACCCTCACATCCCCTCATTTGCTCACAACTCCCTATATACAAATATATAGTGTTGTTTTAATATCTAAAGCAAGAGCTTGAGAATAAGCCCTTCTATAGGGCAAAAGAAAGAAATTGACACATGATAGACAGTTGTTGGATTCAACGTTTTAAAAACTTGGAAATAGAATCGTTATGGCCACTGATTTTTAGGTTGATGGTCTGACTGTCTGATTCGAATGGATGGTCGATTTTAATAAAAAATAAAAATAAAAAATACCTAAAAATCATTCAACGGGTTGACAGATCGACGGTTTGATCACCTGGATCAATGAATTATTGACTTTTTCAATGGTTTTTGGCTAAAAATTAGGTTTGGAGTAAAACGGAACTGATTACCTTGATAGTTTCCAAGCCAAACGGTCCGACCATCCAAATCAACAGCAATTAGAAAACTATGGTTGGATAAGAGTTGCTCAATGAGAACTGGGGTGATGCCATGTTTAAAATTCAAGTAAAAATTGGATAATTTAGAAAAGAAAAACAAGTGAAATTGTTTCTGTCCTATATAACAGAGCCACGATTCTCTATTCTTTTGTACCAACTACAATACATGTTGGCAGCTTTTGTTTACCAAGCTAACATTCTTGATATATATATATATATATATATATATATATATCTAAAATAATTTACCAATTTGGAATTAACTTTCTAGGTATACAAATGTGCAAGGAGGAAACTGAATTGCTTTCGGTGATCAGCAGCATTTGCCGCCTCCCCTGAGGGAGATTGAAGATCCAATGGTTCAGTTGTTATTCCGTACGTACAGGATACAGCCACCGTGGGGAGAAATAGGGAGAATGACCGATCAGCCCAGGGTCAGAATTTGTAGGTTCAAAGTAATGTCGGGATAGGTATCAGCTCAGAAATTCATGGGTGGGTATTGGTGCATAGAATGTGGATTGTAGATCTTTTGAATGTTTATAGCTCTGCAGTAGAAATAAAAAATATGCATTAGGCAAATTTGTACTTCTCCTAGAGAAATATTTGTTCTTCATGGGTAAAGCTTAGATGTACTGCACGGATGACTATTATGCATTGCAGGTTTATGATCTCCAGGTTGCTTGCAACTTCATGTTGTAGCGAGTCTAATGTTTCAAAGATCGGACTGAACATTTAACTGGAATTGTTGGGAAATGGGGTCACTGAAACTTTGGAGGATAAGCTCTAAGGTGCGTCTGAAGACACTGTCCTTAGAACGTTATTTTCCCCCACTCAGTTTCACTGAGTTTGTTGTTGGGTTACAGACAAATCCGTTCTCATGATACAATAGAGCCTTGGGCGAGAATCAGCAACCAGCAAAGTTGAAGAATCTCCGAAAAATCTTCTGTGAGACTGTAGCAAACCGGAGAGAGAGAGAGAGAGAGAGAGAGAGAAGTGGATTTCGAAAAAGGTAATTAACATTTAATGACTATTAACTCTCCTCTACTATTTCTAAGGAGTGTAAATCAACTCCTATTAAAATACTGAAAACAAATATTATAATTTTCCAATTTGTGATAAGTTCAAAACTGGGTTTTGTAAGAGAAAAGTTAATTTTCCAAACAAGTGTGTAGGTGCAATTTCTCATGTAATTGACCAATCAAATCCATAGGATTTAATCTCTTATGAGATTAATATCCAAAAGGAATGTTGTCCGATTCCCTTTTTACTGTTCAACCAGGTCATTCAACCGTTGAGATTTACTATTAAGGCTCACTTTGGAAAGAGTACAAATGCAAATATGTACAATGCAAATACATACAAAATAATACCAAACATAAGGTTTTGCACTCTACATATTTGCAGTTGTACTCCTTCCAAGGCTCAATTTGGAAAGAGTACAAATACAAAAATGTATAGTATAAATACATACAAAATAATATATAAAATACAAGGTTATGCACTCTACATATTTGTATTTGTACTCATTCCAAATTAAGCCTAAGAGATTAAGTAGGTGTTTGGCATTGGGTATGTAGAGTTGTAAGCACCATTTTTTCAGAATATTTATCTTTTGTTTGGAATTGATGCTGCCATATAGGTGTTTTTTGAAAAAACAGCACTGGTTTTGTTTGATACTAGTGATGGCAGTAACGTTTTCAACATTGATCTATATTATCCAATATCCAAGATAATGTCATATTGATGCCACATCATTACATCATTGGCAGCAATGCATCGTTTTCCCAGAAAACATTGAATTTAGTGTTGCTCTAGATCACAGTTTTTCGATTTCCAAGACGTGGTATAGAGTAACATTTTTTCTAGAAAAATGGTATCAAACAAAAGAATATTATTTGAAACACCGTTTTTTCTTATGTAATACTTAGATGTCGCTGTTTTCTCAAAAAACGACATTGATGCCAAACATCGCCTAAAGTCTCTAATTTCTTAGGCAGTCCAACAATAAATTCAATCACCCCAATGGGGTAAATAATATTCTAAAACATATTCTTACATATTCCTCAAAACTTCACATCTAACCATATGTCTGACATCACTGAAATCTTTCCCCAAACCTACAAGTGTGAAAATGCCCAGTTCAGCAATTGCTTGTGCTAATTATTTTTGGCTCGTCTGATGAAAATTTCACACTTAATAGTTCTTTTATTTTCTATCCCAATTTCCATGACAAATTCAAATGTAATGACAAGAACTTGGCTTGTGGCATGAAATTTAAGAAGAAAACGTAAAGCTTGAATATATTATTATTATTATTATTATTATCATTATCTGCGTTATTACATCTTATAATTCCATTTGTGCTGATTGATTTTATTTCATTCCTAATAAGTAATAACAACTTGGCGGTATTGGTTTACAGCCAAATATAATATATATACAGCCCGGATATGGGTCATCTCATACTTGAAATAATGCCAGCATCAACAAAAGAAGAATAATTAGGGGACCAAGAAAGGGTAGAAGAGGAAGAAGAAAGTGGTGAAGATGGGTAACATGAAGAAGTTGAGAGGGCATTTTTGTTGCATGGGTTCCTTATCATCAATGGCACCATATCTTCTAGCAACCCTTGACGGTCCGCTTCTCCTTTGACCAATTCTTCTTGTTGTTGGTCACTAGAACTAAATGGGCTTGGTGGTGTAGGTCCTGGAGTCGGTGAGCATTCATGAGTTTGGACTTGTAGGGCATGTTGGGTTGGTTGGTCTGGTACTTGTAGGATGTCCTTTTTGGGCTTTTTCACAGCCAGGTGGGCCTGGTAAGACGGGGAGGGAAGGAAATGTGAGTAGGCAAAATGGAGGTGGAGTCCTTCATAAGTTATCACAAGTGTCTCTGGATCTGAGCTTGATCTCTCCACCTGCTTCTTTGCACTGCACCTTGGGTTCGTGCATCTGTAATAACTCCTGCTCTCCATCAACAATATCAAAACAAGAAAAAGAAAACAGCTTTAGAATGTGTGCAATAATGAACAAATAGTGGAGATAGGTTAAGTTTTCTATGTGTGGACGGGACAGGGTTCAACCGTGTCACATGTAAATGTTATAGATGGGGTTGCGTGTTTATTTAACTTGCCATCCGGTTACTATCAGCTCAAAAGCCCTTTGCCACGTGGCAAGAAGTCTTATTTTGTACCTAGTACCTACGCATAACCTCAGCCATAAGAGACGGGCTCATTGCACACGTGGCTAACCTAGCGGGAGACAGCATGGGGAGAAGAAGCACAATTATGGACGCATATCATGCAACTTGGAGGCTTGCAGTCGTTGCCTACAATTGGTCTAAATCTCCAGTGGTTTCTACCTCTACCTAAGTCAAATTCTCCAGTACCAATTATAGGATTTTACGCAATGATGCAGAAAAAACTAATTTTTTTGGGGGGGCAAATTAAGGAACCATTAGACTATCTTTGGTTTGAAGGAAAAAATAGGGAAAGATAGAAAATCTATATAAGTTTTGTAAAGATTTTCTTACCTTTTCCTTCCTTTTTCTATTTTTCTCTTCAAACTAAACACAGCCTTAGGGGTAGACATGCATACTAGAAAATCAATTTCAAAAGAAAAATGCCAAACATGTACTCTTCTATGCCTTGCATATCCTTCTTATATCAAACATTTGGAATATCACATGTGCCTATTCTAATTATTCGAAGATTCAGTTAGGTTCAATTTGGAAGGAATACAAATACAAATATATACAGTACAAATATATACAAAATAATGCAAAAACAAGATTTTACACTCTACAAATTTATATTTGTACTCTTTCCAAACTGAGCCATAATGACAAAAATGTTCTCTATAGTGGTAGATGGTAATATATTTACAAAGCGTGCAAGAAACCGAATATAAATGCTCTTATTTGTTGAGGGATCTTTGTAAATGGCACGTCAGTACAAAGCCCTGGACTGAGTTGATAATATATATATAAAGAGAGAGAGAGAGCATCGCCATTTTGGAAGTGACAATGCGTAAATTAGGGAGCAAAATCCCTTAAAAAATCATAAGTTTTAGTACGGTGATAAATAAATCTATTCATCTTTATCATATGCCTTATACCGGCTTAATTAGAATTGCATCGAGTCAATTTGGTTATTTGAAACCTAATTTGCACTATCGGTTTTCTGGTGGCATTTATCATTAATTTGAGCATAAATGGGAGGACAGACCTGAAAAAGAATAAAAAGAACAAAAGGCGTGGATAGGCATCCAGAATATTGAATGTATCTATCTATTTATCTATCCTGTGACTGTTTTTTCCCCGGCTTTCATGGATATTACATTGTTCAGTTTTCATGGATTTTGAGACACAAAAACCTCAAAAGCAAAAGTTTGTGAAATACATGGGGTGACTATCCATCATCCTGTCGATGGGCTCTCAACTCAGGCTCCTTTTGTGCTTAAGGCCTAGCTCTCTCTCTCTCTCTATATATATAGTTCTTTTTTAGGACTTGTTATATGAAAAATGAAAACTGAAAAATGATAGTTTTTCTCTTATTTTTATTCAATTTGGTTCCTTTAGGCTGACCAAACACAAAGTTTGGTTGTTGTTAAGAATTAAGATGCTGGGCTTAACTTGAGGGTAGGTCCGTAGGTATGAATAGGATAGGTATAGTAGGAATATATTAGATTAGATAATGGAGTGGTTAGGAGCACGGGAATGGTCTTAAATGCCTCCAAATTCAGTGCCGGTTCACCAGAAATTTCAGGCACTCTCGGTCGCTATCCTACTTTATTCAACTTCCCCATAAATGTTAATTATCTTGAATTCTTATTGCTAATGACTTCTCACTGACGATTTGGTTATGTATAGACCTGTTTATGAGCCGGATAGCCGGATGGCCCGCGGGCCTAACACAGTATGCTCGACTATGTTATGGGTTGAGTTTGGGATTTGTCAAAAAAATCTGATCCGAGCCTGGTTTGGCCTGACTCAACATTATATACTTTATAAAATACGTAATATGTATTTTATATATTATATAAAATATATAAATAATATAATATAATTACATATATACATTTTTTTATTTTTTTTTTTATAATTTCTCTTTCTCTCTCTATTCAGCCGCTTCAGCAGTAGTAACAACATGGGATAAATTTTGGGCTCGGGCCCAGACCCAGGCTTCGAGCTTTTTATGAGGGCTGCTCAGGCTTGGGCCTTAGAAAAATCTGTTAATACAGAGTGAAAGCCCGGCCCATGAACAAGTCTAGTTATGTAATTATGTAGTGGCAACCTCTCTCATATGAAATGGGTGGCAAAATCCTAAAGTGGGCCGGGTTACGTAGCACAAGTGATTAGCTTTGGAGAGACGGAGAGAAGCCGATCGATCGAGGATATGGCCCAATAACTGCCCTGTTGTCTGCTCACGAGATTTTTTTTTTTCTTGGGGCCGAGACCACCAAGTTGGCAATATAACGATCAGTATATCATTCTGATCAATCACCATGAAGCATTAAAATAATTCAAAGACATACTATCCGCAGAAAAATATTGTTTGGTTAAGGGCCGAAAACCTTGTTTTTTGCTGTAAAAGTGGTATAAATATAGCTAAATTACTACTTTCAAATATGAAAAAAGGCAAAAACCGTAAGACTTTGAAGACTCGAGGCACTATTAGCTAGAAGAAAAGTCTAAGAGAGGCAGCTGTAAGTAACTTCCCAAGAAAGAGCGAATGCTTTTGTAGTGATATATGTTTTAAAAGTTTTCACAATGAAAGCAGAAAATTAATGAAAATCTTAGAGAAGAAATCACAAAAATGGTCTCGAGCCACAAGACGATTATAAGACCTCCTCATGAACTTAATTTGAAGTATTCAAAGGACTGTCGGAAGCAGCAGCACACAGCAGGGCGGGAAAACAAGTTATCTTCGTGGATTTATGAATCTCTTTGAAAATGAAACGAATAGACAAATGAGAAACGATCGATCGAATTACCTTGGATTTGGGTTGTTCTTAATGGATTTCTGCCCATACTTCCTCCATTTGTAACCGTCATCGGCCAATCCATTCCCGGTGGACTTAACTTTCATAGTATATTTATTATCAATCTTACTCAACCCCTTCTCCAATATCGAGATTCTGCAAATAAACGTAAATGAATAGCAAATGAAATGGAACTCGTCAACACATTAATTATCGAAAAAGAGGCACCACCAGCAGAGAGCAAATCCAGAAACTACCTCGCTTGTGACATGCTACGGTGATCGTCAGATTCATTGTTCCGATTTGTTGTGGACAGTGCACTCTCGATGTCTTCAATAGTAGGTCCGGAGTAGGCAGCCGAGATGAGCCGGTTAATTAAGGGCTCTGGTGAAAGACATGGTTTGGGTTCAATGGTTTCAGGTAAGACAAGGAAAGGAGATTCATTATCAAGAAGCTCCCTCACAAGCTCGTCCTCCGACCCATTTGACAGATTTGCAGTTAATTGCATCAATCTTTCCATGAAGAAACAATTCAGTTGTGCATTAGATGAGAGAATAAACCAAGGCAGAAGGAAACAAAGTTTGAAGAAGAGACGGAACTAGGTTCGCAAATTGGTTATCATAGAAGACGGAAGAAGAGAAGATTAGAGTGGAGCAGATAGAGAGGAGGCTAGGGGTCGTCCGTCGTTGATGGTTACGTGCTTATCCCCAACTTTTAAAGGAAGAGTTGCTGAGAGTAAGGAAGATGAGAATTTAATGCACTTTGTACATAGCTTCGTCCTCTGCCTGAGAGTAACAAAGGTTATTTCATACCACACAGATTTACTTTGTTACAATACAATAGTCGAAGCAGGAAGCGCCCAATCATCCATGCATGTTTATTTTATCCTTTTTTTTTTCTGTTCTCTTTGGATGTTAAGGTGGACCAAAACCACCTGAAATTTGATCCCCATTTCAATGAGTCAACCAGTACCAATAATGCATTTCATTTGTTTCTCACTCTTTTAGTATTTTTTTTTTTCAACGCTTAGCTTTGGCCCTATCTAATTGTCATTCTTTTCAGGAAACTGTCCGGGCAGTTGAGATTAAATTATCCGTTATAGCCTGAGAAATTAGGTTGATCTCAAACCAAATATGTTTTGACCATCTTTGATGGCTATTGGGGCTTAAAATTTTGGAGATGTTGCAACAAACCCATGACCCGTGTGATAAATCAACCACTACCCAAATTAATAATTTTTTTTTTTAGGGTAAACTAGAGATAGCCACCCTGTCGTGTTGTAATAGGGGACAATGACACTTAGACCACTGGATTTCTGGATTTATGTTGCAAGGTGATAATTGGCTGGTTGTAGCTAAGCAGAGATTTGGGATCGAATTCCACCTGCACCAGGATTGGGGAGGAGGGTTATGGGTTTGATGGATGGGCTACCCCTGTTGTGTTCTGTATAGCCTCATTTCACTGTCAAACCCATTTGTGGGTTAAAGGGGGCAAAATGCTGAAATCCAATTCCACTTGAGATTAAAGAAAATTAATGAATGATTTTCTTGGGCTCATAAGGAAAGTGAATCGTATTGTTTACTTAGAAAACAAATTTGGATGACTGAAAATTATACAAGCGTTGTAGGATATGAATAGTGAATTAGAAAGAATGTCATTTTCCTATAGTTTATACTAATTTTTAACAACATTCATTTAGTTTCATGAACATTTAACCACTCATTTTTCTCATTCGGATTTCTATTTTCATTTATTTCGGTTGGAGTTCAAAATTACTTCTTCTCTTAGTATGATGTGTATGCATGGTGTGTGTGTGTGAAAGAGAGAAGGACTGAAGGAGAGAGGTTGCCCTCAAGAGGGATTTCTCCATCTGAATTTAAATTCAGATGAGATGAGATGGGATCCCGATCCATTGGCAGAAAACAACAGATATGATTTATTGATTATCATTTCTGCTCAATGATCATGAGACCTATATACTTTCGAATGGTCCTTAGATGCAACCCGTCACAACAATGCTTGGTTGTGGTATTAAAGAGGCAAGAGTTCTTGCATATTTCTGAACAAGGGTGGATAAAGAAGCTAATAAAAAAAACATGGGATTAAATAAAGAGAAATAGGACTCATGTATCTGACCCCACATGGCTAGGATAAGCCTTGGATGATGATGATAATGATTTATCTTATCAATGAATCAGTGAGTCACAATCTAGTCTAAAGGTCCGTTTGGTTCGTAGTTGAAATCGGAATCGGAATCAGAATCGAAATCCTCAGGAATCTGAATCAGAATGGCCCTGTTTGATTCTGACAGAAATGAAAATGGAAATTAAAATCAACAGGAATGGGATTTGATTCCCAAGGGAGGAGCAAGGAATGGCCATTCCTTAAATGGGGGAATGTCATTCTAGTAAGAATATGAGAATAGGATTCCGATTCCGCCCAACTAAACAGTTGGAATCGGTCAATTCCAGACCTCTATTCCTGCAAACCAAACGGACTCTAAGTTTTTAGACAGTACATTATACATAGGGTTGCAAACGGATTAGATGGGATTCAGATATATAAAGAAATGGTGATCCAAATTCGAACCGGATAAGGATATCGTATATCTGAATTTGATCGGGTCCGGTTCGAATTATAAAAAAAAAGTTAATAAATTAGTAAAATAAAAAACATAAAACTTTATATAAAGATGACTCCTCTCATGTCTCATGTATTATTGAATGTTGATTGATTCCTCTAAGGTCCCTGCATTCACATTCATGGATCTCTAATCAGAACCCGGTGCCACACAACCATTTGTTTGCATTTTTTTAATGTATACCTCCCTCATGGTTGAATATAAAAAACGTGTTGGAATTCATAATTCTATCACTCCAACTTGCTCCCAAAGAAAAAAAAGACCCTCTCCAACTGAGAAAAGAAAGCAAAAGAATAAATAAGAATTATATTAATAATAAGGTCAAGATCATTCAATAACGCATTGCCTCGTATGGAATCGTCATTTAAGGTCATTTACATTCAGTAGTCAGCCCTCATAAATGTATATCTACTCTGATTAGGCAAAGTTTTGATTTTCAAGGTTCAATCTTTGCCTTGTCCCGATATGTTAAATATTAAATATATTTATGTTTTTAATATTTTCAAGGGTTATGCCTTATTGAGATCAACCCCTTGTAAAACTAAAAAAAAAAAAAAAAGCGTGTGGGCAAAATCCCCGATACATATAGGGTGCATGGATAATTTGAAATTTGAACAATGCTCTCAACCAACGATTAAAAACAAAAGATAATTAGTGAAAAAAGAAGAATAAAAAAATTATTTGAGTGAGCGAGGAAGAGTTTTTTTTTAAGGGAAATTGTCTAAACTTTACCATGAGTTTTCAGCATTTCTCTTAAACTCACCTCAACTTTTCAAATTGTCTAAAACTCAACATATCACTAATTTGACGTTAAACATACTAATGGGTGTTAATATATTACCATTTTAACCTTCATAGAAAAATATAAAAATATATACAAAATAAATTAATGGGTGTTAATATATTACCATTTTAATATTTAGACATGAAAAAAAGGAAAAAATTTAAAAAATATTTTTCAAATATAAAATACATAAAATACCCAATAATGGTGGCTCAGTTTTTCAAGGATAATTTGATTATAAAAATTGTTATTTGTGCTGACATGAACACTTATTTTAAGAAACATTAAGGATGCATTAATAGAAAGCGAGTTTTAAAAAATAAAAATTTACTTAAATAGTGATAGACATTTTAAAAAGTTGTGGTAAATTGAAAAGAAATGCTGAAAATTCATAGCGACAATTTTCTTTCTTTTAAGTGAAAAATGAATGACATGTGCTCTGAGCTCATACTAGGCTCCCGCAATTAATAGTCAGCCGCAGCAAGGGTTTTGTCTTCTTGTGGTTTGACTTGGGAATCCAAACAAAGCTGGCAGCAAGCGCGAGAGAGGCCACCCAGACTCAGAAAATAAAAGGACGAGAGGGGGTTGACTGGACAGAGTGGTTTAGGTTAGCACAGCGCGTAGGTAGTCCGGTGCGGATAGTTGGCAAAAGCAGGTTAAACGATGACGAGGACGGCAAGTACCAATGGACAAAAGTCAATGCCATTGTGGGACCCATCTGAGAGCATGTAGACAAATGACATGTGTGGAGACGTAGACACACCTATTGTCTCCAAGTACTCACGTGCACTGTCTGTCTCTGATTCCAATCCCACTGTCCTCGTCCTTCCCTTTCTTACTCCTTACCCTACCTACATACAAGTGAAGTGACGGATTAACTAACGAGAAGAGATCATCTGCCAATAAAATATTTAGAGGATGCACTTGCGAGCAAGTGTCCTTCGGATGGATTGAAGATGAAATCATGTGAGAACACATCAGAAAGGTTCAAAGTATTTCCATTGATACATCATAGCCCCATATAAATTTGATGAAAATTCGTCAGATATGTTTGGTTATAAGTTTTATGACATCATAATCAAATTCTTTTTACATTAGATAATTTATATATAATTATAATTGAACCTAAAATTTATAAAAAAAAAAAGAAACGTATCCCTTAAAGCACGGATCCACAGAGGTAAGTATATGTATAATTTTGAACATGCACGCCGGTTCCATGGGAACACCATTGGCATATTCTAAGTATTTCCCTTTATATTGTTTAGATTAGATCGATGCATATATTAATGTAATTGCCAAGAAAAACAAACCCACCAGAATCTGGGTGGCAACTTGGGGAATATCCCATTGAGCAGTAGGCTGAGGGCTGCGTCCTGCCTGCTCTTCCTCTTGAGTCCGGATCTGCTCTTCATGAGAGATCTTTCCATGGTCAGTGTCAGGAGCGCTTTATGAAAAAAATTCTAATTCCTTCCTCTATTCTTCAGGGCCTGTAGGCTGTGTTTGGAAACGATGCAAATAAGTATGTATGTAGAGTATAAAACGGTTCATATAAATTGTATAATTTGATTAATTTTGCACTGACAAATTTATCTTTTTATCGAACAGATTTTTAGTTATAATGGATGCAAACATAAATTTCAATACAACATATACATTTTTTTTTTCTTTTTATCAAAAGACCACTTGAATGTAAACTTACTTCTTTTTTATTGATATACTTTTACATCTTATTATCAATATAAATATGCATTAGTCTATCATTTGTCAATGCATAAATATAATATTGTCAAACATAGGCAAAAATAGTAAAACATAATGTAAATTTACCCTAAACCGGGATTAATGCATATTTTCCAAACGCAGCCTTAGTAATAAACACTATTAACAGTGAGAGTTGGTATATAATGGTAACTGAGCATGCATGCATCATCATTCATCATCTTGAACATGACCATCGTCCCATCATCGTCATCGCCATAATGAAATTTGTAACATTCATTTATAGTGAATGGTAAACGTCAAAGTTGGTAGTTAGGCAAATAAGAGAGAAGCATGTGATCCAGCTCAAATCCAAATGGGCAGCTGGTAAATTTCTTGATGTCTAATATGGGTTGGGTCAAAATTGAGGCAACACCTAATTCATTTACCTTATTCCTTGAAAAATCTTGCCTGAAACATTGCAAAGCGTACAAAATATAGCCCTATATCTTTTTAAATTGCATGAAAAGTAACACAATACACGAACACATGAAAAGTTTTCTCCCGCTAACGGCCAAGATTTCATTATCTTCTTTTTAAATTGCAA